GCATCAAATTTGATAAATGAAATCAATAGTACACAAATGTTTACACTTAGTAACCAATCCAAAGATACATAAATTAATAATTTTATTAAAGCTTATAAAAACAACAACTTTATTTAAACCAAATTCATTTGTAATTTACATATGATGTATGCTATTCCTAAACTCCATAAAAATTCGATTATATTAAATTTATTTCAAGTTCAATAAAAACAATTATTAAACAACCAGCCATTTTATTAAATATATTGCTTAATATTTTATTTGATAAGATTAAAAATTTAAATATCGGTAATAAGAAACTCGCATTTTGGATAATAATTAAGAAAAATCAACCATTTTAGAATCTCTAAATAACTATGGCCAAGTGAAAAATATTCAAGCATTTGATTTTACCACACCGTTCCCACAATTCCATTGAGAGATTTAATAGAACAATACTGTTATCCTTTCATATTACCGAAAGAAAGAAAATTTAGCACCAAAAATATAAAAGATATATTAAGTTTCTGCATTTATAATAATTTTGTTTTCAGTAACCAGGTATTTAAACAACTAATAAATCTTTATTTGTACGGGAAGAGGTTTATTGAAATTGTATAAACCCGGACGTTTTGGCTTTAATTTGCAAATATATAGATTTAATTATTATAAATAATCCTAGTATAAATGATAATTTTATTAACACTATTTATCCTGTATAATTAGAAATTGAAAATACTACAGTTTCTAATGTAGACACACATTATTTAGATCTTGAAATTAAAATAATTGATAATGATGTCAATCTAAATATTTTTGATAATAGAAAATATGTTTAGTTTAAATATACGGCTTATCCTCTTTTGATAGTAATGTATCATACTCTTCTGTTATAAGTATAACTTCACGATTATTCAGATTTTGTAAGATTTCTAATAAATTACAATATTTCATTATTAATGTTGAAAATGGATTTAATAAAGAAACCCCAAATAAAATTAAAATATTCGGTGATAAATATAACAACGTATTAAATGAATATAAAGAAGTAAAAAATTAAGGAGATTTTGCTAAAAGTTTCTGATAAACAATTTTGGTTATTAATAGGGTCATTTAAACAGCTTGGCACTACATTTATGTGGATGAACACCTTGTCGCATTTCTAGGCTTGTGTAGAGTCTAAAAACCGATAGTTACAGTGGACTTAATGGGTGTTGGTTGGGAGGATATACTAGTACAATTTGTCTACTGTACTACTAATTAGTGCTTTACTACTATAATGGGGGGCTGGAATGCCAACTTCGGGAGGTAAGTTTATCTTACTTACCCGCAATTGGTAGTACCTTATTTCGTTTTTTTTTTAATTCATTAATTTTTCTTGTTCTTTTACTTTGGAGAGCAGTGGCCTCCCCACACTTGTCTGCAGGCAGTGGATGATGATGATATAGATGTGGGACGTTGTGGCCTTGAGCACCCACATCTCTCTCTCTCTCTCTCCTAAATAATAATTCTTTTGATGATTTTATTTTATTTTTATGAATTTTTTTTTATGTGAGACTGGTGAATGGAGGTTAAGACTGATAGACGGCGTGTTCACATTGCAATGTGAGTTCTACTTCCGCAGTCACTTTCAAAACCCAGGGCACATTTTATATCTCGCATTGTAGCCTGCACCCTGTGGATCCTTTTAATTTATGCAGCGTCTTTAATTCAATTTTTGGGCTTGTTTATGTTTAGATATATATTTTAAACATTCTTTGATATAATTAATACCAATGCAAATATATTTTCAAACACGAGCCAGATGTGAATTGTGATTGAATTTCCTTGGAGTTACATTATGTTAGGAATCTGCTTCTTGGAAATTAATAATATTTGTTTTCTTTAGGTGCTGGTTACAGAACCAGATTTTTACAACCCAGAGAGTCATCAGCCCAAGAAGGCAATACATACAAATATTCTAGGCTTGCCTTTGATTCCATCCCGCCTAAGCCTACTCCAGACTTTTCGCCATATACTATGTCACCTATAGCTTTAGGGCAGTAAGTGTGGAGTAGGCGAGCTCCATCTTCGCCTGGAGGCAGATTAAAGATGCCATCAACATTTGACATGAGGATCAGAACATCAGCACTCGATTCCACTGCCAAGTGAGCAGCGAGACTGTCATTGTCTTTGACAGTGATAACCTTTAAAATAAACGAATATTTACACTTTAATATAGATGGATGCATTACTTGAAAAATAACTATTAATTAAAATTTATATGAAACTTATGACTCATCACATAACTATCAATTGAAAACGGAGAGTGACCTTTGGGGTAAACTGAATTTATGATTAAAACCTTAAGAATTGCAGTTTAATAAAATAAAATAAATTACATGATCAATTTGCTTTCAACAGCTATGTACTCATTCTTACCCTTTCTCCGGGTTTCAGGCTTAGTTCACGTGCAACTCTAGACAAGTCTTTATTAATGTCAGGTGGAACGACAGTGTCATTCGTGTTGATGATAGGAATGATATTTAGGCCTAAGAGCTCCAGCACAGTGCTCTTCAGGTTGAAGCAAGAAATTAATCTGTAACATTGTTTAATTTATTTATTTTCTGCTCTACTCGATGAAATGTTTCACTTGAAACACATTAATACTAAAGCTGTTTACTGAATCTCCATTGTAAGAATACGTCACGTGAATCTGGAATTCCAGAAGGATAACTCGTGAAATAGTTTTATTTCAGTAGCTTTGGACTTTGAAAAACAAATATAAGTGTGACTTGTTTTAAATCATATTAATAAGATACTGTATCAAACTGCAGAGTTTGGTATTTTATAATGTATACTTTTCTTAACTTATTCTAACATTTTTTATCACTATTTCGTAACTCTTTTATGAAAAGAGAAATACTTATTAAGAGTTATAGTTTCTAGTTTTATAGTTTCCCCCAGTGGCACAGCGGACTTCCAACACTAGAAACCGGCCATAATGGGCAGAGCACAGATAGCCCATTGTGCAGCTTTGTGCTTAATTACAAACAGAACCATACGGTTTTTGTTATTTAAATATGATTGCATAATGATTAAGTTGTCCAAAACTCAAACCGGTAAATATTAATGAACTTATCCTAGTTAGGGGGAAGAAAATATTTCTAATTTCACTGAAATTCCAAATTCAATTATACAGCTTTACTATGGGATATAACTATGTAACTTTACTATGGGATATAACTATGTAACTTTACTATGGGATATAACTATGTAACTTTACTATGGGATATAACTATGTAACTTTACTATGGGATATAATGGGATATAACTTTACTATGGGATATAACCGATTTTCCAGGTGTGATATTTGAATTGAAATTCTAAAGTTTGGTGTTGTAGTTTTTCTGTTGGTGGTAATGCAACTTCCAGAAGATTTTAACACCCAGAATATAATAAGGATTAGTATTTGCATGTGTTATAAATTTATATAATGTTTACATACAGGATCTGTCTTGTCTTGGATGGGATAAAGGCCATGTCTTCTCCATGTGGCCTGCATTACTCTTGTGTTGAAAAATGTTTAATTCATTTATAGGTTCGAGCTGCTAGTTGGGCTCTAGAGAGAGGTGTGTCTGTGATCATATGTAACGGGATGCAAGAAAATGCCATTTCTAAGATCATCCAGGGTAAACGAATAGGAACCTTTTTCACGGATCACAAGAGTAGTTCCGTCCCAGTAGAAATGATGGCAGTAAATGGTAAGTTCCTAGAATGGATTTTGGTCTATTTAGTCAGTCTTCAACCTTTACTTAACATCAACTCAATGCCTTTTCTTAAGGTAAGAAGCCAAGATTGAACAGTACTCTAAATGTGGCCTAGCCAATGATCTATATAATGACATTATAACCTCTTTCGACTAGTACTCTATATTCCTGTATATACAACCTAAGTTCTATTTGCTCTGCCACTAGCAACAACACATTGCTTTGATGGCTTAAAAGACTGATCAACCAAAACGCCAAGATCATTTTCTTCCATAACGCTGTTAAGGTTATTCCCATCAAAGCTATACTCATAGTTGAAATTGTGATATCCCAAATACATTTCTTTGCATTTGTTATAATTAAAAGCCATCTACCATTTTTAATATCACCAAAAAATTGAATAATGTATTGAAAATTCCTTCATCTGTCAATGATATCCCTTCCGTGCTGCAAGGACAGAAAAGTTATATTAAATAATTAATTAAAACATTACCTTCCACGAACTTTCATGCGATAGAATACCAAGAACACCGTGTTCAATAAATTAGTTAGAGATTTTATTTGAAAAGTTACATGCCGTTAATATAGCACAAAATCTAGAATCTCGTATTGACGAATAAAAACAAGGACAAGTGAAAAACTTATTTTCATATCTAATACAGAGGACTTGTTGTTTTTGTTGATTTTTTTAATAGCACTGGTGCGAAATTCTGCCCAATCTTCTGCATATAAAACTAATTACAGTTATAAAAGCGGATACTCCGTTTGAAACTATGTCACCTCAGTGAAGTTGGTTGACATCGTTGTTTTTATTTTTGAGTTATCATGTAATAATAAAAAAAGGAAGAAAATCGGATATTTACAGACATTCCCAGAACTTCGGATTCAGTCATTACATAGATATTTTTATATAAAGAAACACTGTATAGTATGGTAAAGTTCTGATGAACTATTGAGTAGATTTTTTACAATACCAATTCGACGAACGACCCGACCCATCCATACATAGGCAGTGCTACCACCCACCGCCTGATAAGGCTTAACAAGATGATAATATTAAGTCAGAGTTTGTAAAAAACAAACAGGGAAGTTTAAAAGAAATATAAAGCACATGGGCCAGGTGATATTTCCTCAAGGGTTTTAAAGGAGGTCAGGGATTGGATATGTGAGCAACACTTGCTATTACTTTTACAAGTCCTTGAATAGTGAACAGGTGCCAGAATATTGGAAGTTGGCTATTGTTACTCTTCCTTTCAAAGAAGGTAGCAGAAATTGTCCTTGTAATTATAGGTCTATTAGTCTTATATCGGTGGTGAGCAAAAGTGTTTGAAAGTCTGATAAAAAAAATGCTTTGTAAAGTCATCTAACAAAGTTTATTTGTTTTCCTTTGGGGACAGGAGAGTGATGAGTATGGTTTTACTAGCGGAAAATGTAGCGTTATCAAGTTTAGACGTTCTTTGAAGAGGTTACTGCTTATGGAGGTGAGGGTACACGTGTAGATTTGGTGTTGCTAGATTTTCAGAACGTACTTGATATGGTGACACATAAAAAGCTTGTTAAAAGTTTTCTGTAGATATATATAATATGTTGGCTCGTTGGATAGATAACTGGCTAGATTGAAGAAAGTTGTTATAAATGGAGTTCAGTCGAACTGCATTAGTTTCACAAGTGGGGTACCTCAGGTTCAATAATGGTATATTTGCCCTCTTTGGTTTGGGTCGTAATCTGCAGTCTTTGACACAAGACCAGAGAGCAGACGTCATTGAAAGACTAGCCGAATTATTACAGACGAGGAAAGAAGAAATTCTTCAAGCAAACAGCCGAGATTTAAAGCAAGCTGAAGAGGACGGTAAGAAGTGGGGCGGGGATCCTATTATAATTAATTATATTGTTAAAACTGTAAGAAATGGTGGGTGGGGATCCTATTATACTTAATTACCTTGTTAAGACTGTAAAAAATGGGGTGTGGATCCTATTATAATTAATTCTCTTGTTAAAACGGTAAGAATGTGTGTGTGGATCTTATTATAATTCTTTTGTTAAGACGATAGTTTCTAATGTTTGTTTTTTAATGCAAATAAGAATAAATTTGCCGCGTAATTAGGAGCCAAAATAGGTTCGCAGATATATTTAAAAACAAACTAACTAAGCACGCCCGAGGTTTTATTTTATTTTTTACATGATGTTTACGGAAGCTGTAGCACAATGGACAAATTAACTAAATACTTTTTTTTATCTGCTCTGATTGTGGAGATGATAAAGAGGGGGAGGGGATAAACAATTCGGTGTTACTTATCTGGTGATCCAGGAATCCCGTCGGATAGTTTCATTTAACATTTGAAACAGGATTTTCGGTTATAATTAAATCGAACTCGCTAATGCATACGTACTCTTGGTTAAATAAGAAATATTAAATTTTAAGTGTAATATGGATTGAACCTGGGTCCTGGTTCCCTTCTTTTTTTCCTTAAGTATTGATGGATGAATAGTAAACTGTGTAACTATATTTTCTTTTATTATTATTAAGGTTCATTAAACGCATGGTTAACATGACATGCCTTGAAATAATTCTGAAATTAATAATAATTATTATTTTTTGAAGGTTCATTAAACGCATGGTTCACATGACATAATAATTCTGGAATTAATATATATATATATTAAAATTAGAACTTCAATTTCACTACTTTAAAGATGTTTCAATGATCTTACCTGAGGCAAACAATCTGGCCTCGATTCAAAAATCACCAGCAATACACCAATAGGAACCGAGATCTGTTGTAGTTCCATTCCGTTTGCAATGAGAGTTCTTTTAAGAACTCTTCCAAGGATTCCTTTAGAAGTGTGAGCGATTTGTCGCAAGCCGTCAGATAAACTACTGAGCTTTGCAGTGCTTAGTGTTAGTCTGGCGAGGAGTGGAGGATCGAGTCCTGAGAGAAAAATAATAATTAAAATAAAACAGTTTACAGTCCGTACAACCATAGACCACCAGCTACCATTTCTCGACTTCTAACTAGATCGCCAGAAACTCCAACTTTCTACAGAAGTTTACAGGAAACTAACCACTGTATTAATAATGGCTGGAGACGGTTTGAATGGGTAATGAAGAAAAACTTTAAAATAAGTTTAACATAACAGCAAATGTACAACGTTTCGACAAGGTTTTGTCATCATCAGGTACTATGTACTATGTTTTTCTTCATTACCCATTCAAGCTGTCTCCAGCTATAATTAGTCTCAAAGTGAGTTCCTCGTCATCGAATTTGTAACCATTGTATTATTGTACTGATGCTATACATCCAACTGTCCTCATTTTAACGCGAGATCAGTTTTAAAAAAAATCCAATTTTGAAAATATGCAATAAACTTTCCAACTCATTAAGGATAAGAAAATAACCAGTTGATAAAATAATGACTTTTACACGGACAACTAAGGATGAATTTTTAGCCATCTCTTCTCAGTCTTAAGCTACAAGTTCAGAAGGATTTACAAGAAATATAGATATTAGGATTGATAATCATTGGACTGCAACTGCATTTTGAATAAAAATGTAACGACGTTTAGGCTTCTATATTGAAGCCTTCTTCTTTGCCTAAATTCCTACAGAAATAAAAACAATTAAAATAGGTTTAAAATTTTGAAAACTTCTTAAGGATCAACTTGGAAGAGTAGGTGATTCAAAGAAAAAGAAACAGTTTTGAGTATCATCAGCAATTGCTAATAAACCTACATAGGACAACTTAACAACATGGAAATATCCTCAAGAAGAAGAAACAAGTTCAGCACAATTGACCACTTCCTCGGGGCCACGGC